ACCTGGGCTGGTGGGAGGGGTCCCTGCCCATGGTGGGACTGGATGGGCTTGAGCTCATGGGATGGTTTGGGTGGGAAGGGACCTCCAAGAGCACCTGGATGATCCACTAGATGATCTTCAAGGTGGTTCCTCCAACCCTGGAGGTGTCCAAGGGGAGGTGGGATGGGACTTGGAGCAACCTGGGCTGGTGGGAGGTGTTAGGACTGGATGAGGCTTAAATCTTGGAAGGGTTTGGGTGGGAAGGGACCTCAAAGACCACCTGGATGATCCACTAGATGATCTAGTAGGTGGTCTTTGAGGTGGTTCCTTCATCCCTGGAGGTGTCCAAGGGGTGGTTGGAGACACCTGGGCTGGTGGGAGGTGTGAGGACTTTAGATCTTGGAAGGGTTTGGGTTGGAAAAGACCTTAGAGACCACCTGGATGATGCACTAGATGATCTTCAAGGTGGTTCCTCAACCCTGGGGGTGTCCAAGGGCAGGTGGGATGGGGCTTGGAGCAGCCTGGGCTGCTGGGAGGTGTCCCTGCCCATGCAGGGGGGTGGGACTGGGTGATCTTGAAGGTCCAACCCAAACCATTCCATGATTCCACGTTCCTTTTGGAGCCTTTATGTGATTCAATTTGATACAGAGAAGAGTTTGCCCAGTTCCTCGGGCACCATCACACCCCTGATCTTCAAGTTCATCCTTTTTTTCCCCAATTACTTCAATTCTGAAATGACTGTTCTTGGTTTGTGTTAAAGGTGGGAAGAGACTGGTGGGAATTTCACCTGGAGATTTTGCTTTTTGGTTCCGTGGAGGATTGGGAAGCCTGGATCTTGATGGGTTCCTCTTTTTGGTTGGTGACAGCTCTTCACATCCTCACCTTTCCACGCAGATCCTGATCACAGGTAATGATGCTTTAATTTTAATTAGATTTAAATGAACTTCCCCCTTTTCTGATCAGGTTCAAAGAAATGTCAAAAGTCCAAATGAATCATTTTTCCTCTTTTCAAAATACCATGTTAAAAGAGCAAATAAAACACCCTCCTGAAATGTCCTCCCTGGCACAAATCACAGAGTGGTGGTCAGAAGGGACCTCTGGAGACCCCCCAGTGCAGCCCCCTGGAGAGCAGGGTCACCCCCAGCAGGTCCCACAGGAACACACCCCGATGGGCTGGGATGTCTCCAGGGATGGAGGCTCCACCACCTCCCTGGGCAGCCTGGCCCGGGGCTCTGGGACCCTCAAGGTCAACAAGTTCCTCCTCAGCTTCAGGTGGAACTTCCCATGTTGTCACTCGGTGCCGTTTCCCCTCCTCCTGTCACAGGCACCACGGGACAGAGATTGTCCAGTTCCTGACACCCCCTGCAGGTGTTTCTAGACGCCCATCAGGTCCCCTCTTGACCTTCTCAATACTTTTTCTCTTTCAGAGATCGACCAACTCCGGGAGAAACTGGGTAAGAGCCAATTTTTCTCTCCTGATGTTGGTTCTGGGGCATCTTGGGGCTTGAAGGATCCTCCAGGATTCCCTTTGGGTGTAGAAGAACCTTCCCCATTTCCAGGACCTGCTGGTAAAACTCAGGGGAACATCGACCGACCAGGGGACAATTTCCAAAGTCCCCTCTCCATTTCCTGCCAACATTCAACCCTCAGCTCCTCCCACCTTGAAATTCTCAGACACGTTTTCCTGGGTTTGATAATTTCCTATTCATTTTGATATATTTTTACCTTTATTAAATGGCATTTATTATTTTTAATTATTTTTCTTCGTATTTTTCTAATTATTTTTCCCTCTTCCTTTGCTTTTCAGAAAAGGAGGAGGAGAATTTGCAGAAGGGTAATAAAAACTCATCCTTTTCAAAGATTAATTCCCCTCATTCCAACCTAAAAAAACCAATGGGAAGAGGATTTGATATCACTCTGTTAATTAATTAATAACTAGAATGAATCCATTAGATAAATTCCATTAAAAGTCCATTCAATCCATTTATCTAATGGATTAATTCTACATATTAACACATGAACAGTCATCCTATAGGTATATTAATATACATAAACAATTAATCCTATATATTAATGTATAATAGATTAGTCCTATATATTCATATACACATAAGCAGATTAATTATCTCTATATTAGTGTTTAAATTAAAATATAATTCCTATATATTATTTATAAAAGGATTAATTCTGTATATTACTTAATGCATAGAGATTGGTCTTTCATATTATTTATATTATGATAACATATAATAATATAATATTAATATTATTATATTAAAATCATTTATTAACATATAATTAATCATATCTATGTAATTAATTATATACAATATTTAATTATATATAGTGTATATATAATATATAATTAATCATATATATTGATGTAAGTAGATTAATTAATTCTATATCAATACTTCAATTAAAATATTACTTCTATTTATATTAATATTTACATAAATTGACTACTCCTATTTATTAATTAATACATAAACAGTAATCCAATGTATATAATGTATAATTCATATATACATAACCAATTAATCCTAGATATTAATAGATATATTAAATGATTAATTCTATATATTAACATGTTAATAAAGGGATTAATTCCATGTATTAATATATCCATCGATTAATTATATATAATTGTATACCTAATAAAATTAATGCCATATATTAATCTATGCATAAATGGTTTAATATTTCATCTTAATTAATACATAAGCAGATTAATTCTATGAATATACTAATTAATGGCTCCACCCTATATGTTAATATATGCATAAGCAGATTAATTCTATGGAATAATTTGTTAACAAATTAATATATGAATGTATAAATAAACATATTATTCCCATAGATTAATATATGCATAATTAATATATATTAAGCATAGGTAATACTCCTACAGATGAAATATTAATAATATATTGATATATACATCAGCAGATTAATTTTATAAATATAAACTATATGTCTATTAATATATACAGGAATAGATTAGTTTTCTATATTAATATGTGCATTTAAAGATGATTATTCATATATATTAATAAGTACACAAATTGATTCATCCCATCTATTAATATCCACATAAAACTCTGTCCATGAACATCTTCAGAAAGGGATTAATCCCAAATATGAATGTATAATGAGATTATTAATTACATATTAACATATCCACAAAGTGCTTAATCCTGTGTTTCTGGGTTCCCCCCCAAAATGAGCAAATCTCCATTAATTGCCCCAATTTCCTCTTCCTAACGTGGGATTTTCCTCCCGTTTCCGGCAGGAAAAGAGGAGCTGGAAACCAGGATAGGTAAGGATGGAAGGACCTTGGTCCTCCAAGGGGTTCCAAGGGTGGGTCCTCCAAGGGGTTCCAAGGGTGGGTCCTCCAAGGGTGGGTCCTCCAAGGGGTTCCAAGGGTGGGTCCTCCAAGGGTGGGTCCTCCAAGGGTGGACCAGGATAGGTAAGGATGGAAAGGGGGTTCTAAGGGTGAGTCCTCCAAGGGTGGGTCCTCCAAGGGGTTCCAAGGGTGGGTCCTCAGGAACCCCAGGAGATGCCAACGTCTTCTCACCCCTTTCTCTCCTTTGCAGCCAAAGTCAAGGAGGAGCTGGGTAAGTGGAAACCTGAAGAGAAAATCTAAGTATAATCTATGGAATGAGTATAATAACCTGTAATGAATAATAAATATAATAAATAATGAATATAATAATACAGAATAAATATACTTGAAATAATAAACATAATAAATAATAGATATAATAACATATAATAGATAACAGATATAATAATAAATTATAACTATGACAAAAAAGAATATTATACTAAATTAGACATAATAAATGTTTAAATATAACAATCTATAATAAAAGTAAATATAATTAATATAGTAATTACACTAATAAACAATGAACATGATATTAAATTATACATACATTTAAAAATATAACAATCTATAAGAAAAGGAAATATAATTAAAATTATATAATAATGGATATAATAAAAATTAATATTAAAATAAATAATAAATGGGATAATATAATAATAAAAGTAATGCTAGACAATAAATTTTATAATAAATATAATAATTAAATGTAATAGTATATAATTAATATAATGATAAATAATAAACAATTATATACTGTAAACATAATAAAATAAATATAATAAGTTTAACAACTATAATTGTAAATAACAAATTATATAATAGATACGGAATATAATTATAAATAATAAACATAATAATATATAATAAGCATCATGATAAATAGTCAATGCAGTAGTATGTAATATAAATAAGGCACTTCTCACCCTCTAGCCCCCCCCAGATTGGATTCAAATTTCAAGTTTCTTTCATCTCTTGGTTTTAATAAATCTTTTTTTTTTTTTCTTTTCTCAAAGAGTTCTGGAGAGCTCGGAGCAAAGCAGGTGAATCCTGACAGGGATCTTGTCTAGTTTATTTCATTTCATTTCATTTCATTTCATTTTGCTTTATTCTATTTTATGTTGGTTTATTTTCTTTTTTAAATTTACTTTAATTTACTTGAATTATTTTGTGTAGTTTTATTTTTAATTTTATTTTCTATTATTTTGCTTTATTATTTTATTTTTTAAATTATGCTTTGCTTTATTTTATTTTGAATTTTATTATCTAATTTTATTTAATTTTATTTAATTTTAATTTTATTTTTCTTCTTTCTTTTGTTTTACTTATTTTATTTAATTTTTTTTAATTTTCCATTATTTTATATTATTTTGCTTTCATTTCCTTTATTTTATTTCCCTTTGGTTTATATTATTTTGCTTTATTTTTCTTTATTTCACTATTTAATTTGTCTTTATTTTGCTATTTTATTTTTATTTAGTTTATTTCATTGTCATTATTATTGCTATTATTGTAGTTATTATTATTACTATTACTACTACTATTGTTATTATTATTGTTATGTTATTATTATTTCACATCATTTCCCTTTCCCCTCCTGTTCCCAAGTTCCCATCCTCCTGGACAAGAGCTGCAAAGATCCCAACCTGACCCCCCAGATCCTGAACCAGAACCAAAACCTGAACCAGATCCAGGACCAGATCCAGGACCAAAACCAGATCCAGAACCTGAACCACATCCAGAACCAGATCCAGACCCAGAACCAAAACCTGAACCAGATCCAGGACCAGATCCAGGACCAAAACCAGATCCAGAACCTGAACCACATCCAGAACCAGATCCAGACCCAGAACCAAAACCTGAACCAGATCCAGGACCAGATCCAGGACCAAAACCAGATCCAGAACCTGAACCAGATCCAGAACCAGATCCAGACCCAGAACCAAAACCTGAACCAGATCCAGGACCAGATCCAGATCCAAAACCAGATCCAGAACCAGATCCAGAAACAGATCCAGAACCAGAACCAGATCCAGACCCAGACCCAGGTGGAGGCTCCTGATTCCTCCGTGTCCTCAGGGATCGCCGTGGCCGCGACAGGATTTTCCCAGGACAAACACTACTGGGAAGTGGAAGTTGGGGATAAATCCCAGTGGGAACTGGGAGTGATGGAAGAGGAGACCAAGACCACCTGGATGAGCAACACCGACCTTCCTCCAGAGGGAAATTCCTTCAGCCTGAAGTTTTCCCAGGGGGAATTCACCGTAACTGGTGGGGAGAGGGTAGAAATTCCTGGTCCATGCAGGGTGGTGGGAGTTCTCCTGGATCAGGGACCTCAATGTCACACTCTCTCATTTTTTGATGTTGAAAGAAAGTGTCTTCTCCAATCCCTCTCTTTTGAGCTTCCAGGGAATCTCTTTCCATTCTTCAACCCAGGCTCTGATGGAAAACCTTTGGGAATTCGCCCGTTACTTCAACCCAGACTCTGATGGAAAATCTGTGGGAATTGGGCCTTCAACCCAAGCTCTGATGGAAAATCTTTGGGAATTGGGCCTTCAACCCAGACTTTGATAGAAAATCTTTGGGAATTGGGCCTTCAACCCAGACTTTGATAGAAAATCTTTGGGAATTGGGCCTTCAACCCAAGCTCTGATGGGAAATCTTTGGGAATTGGGCCTTCAACCCAAGCTCTGATGGAAAAATCTTTGGGAATTGGGCCTTCAACCCAAGCTCTGATGGAAAATCTTTGGGAATTGGGCCTTCAACCAGGAGCAGCACCAGTCCCTGGAGACTCTACTAGACCCAACTAGACCCTGCCCCACTCACCACAACTCTATGACCTCTGCCCCGTGACCATGGAGATGTGTTGGATGCCCTGAAGAACCTCCAAGACCTACTTTTGGGCAACAAAATTACACTTCACCTGGCAAAAGGTTTGAGGTTCAGATCTTGTGGAGCAGACGCCTCCACAAGAGGGATCTGATGCACCAGAAGAGTTCAAGGGCAGGTTGGATGGTGCTTGGAGAAACCTGGGCTGCTGGGAGGTGTCCCTGCCCATGGAGAGGGTGGGACTGGATGAGCTTTAGATCATGGAATGGTTTGGGTTGGAAAAGACCTCAAAGACCACCTAGGTAATCCACTAGATGTTCTTCAAGGTGGCTGCCCCATCCCTGGCAGTGTTGAAGGGCAGGTTGGATGGGGCTTGGAGCAACCTGGGCTGCTGGGAGGTGTCCCTGCCCATGGGAGGGTTGGATGGTCTTGAGATCGTGGGAGGTTTGGGTGAGAAGGGACCTCAAAGACCACCTGGATCCATAGATGATCCTCAAGGTGGTTCCTCCAACCCTGGGGGGTTCCAAGGGCAGGTTGGAGTGACCTGGTCTGGTGGGAAATGTCCCTGCCCATGACAGGATCTAGATGATCTTGAAGGTCCTTCCAACCCAAACCATTCCAAGATTCTAGGAGGACGTTTCTCCACCACCAGGGTTCAAGGCATGACAGCCATGGAGCAGCCCATGAAGTTGCTTGATGTTGACCCTCAGAGTCTTCTTCAAGCCCAGGTGGCACCTTCTCCACTCAAGCAGTCAAGCACAGACACGTCCATCTGGTTTAAATTACTCTTTTTATTTTTAAAATGCCTTTCCCCCCCCACCTTTTCCACCAAAATTTTGAGAATTCCATTCCATAAGTCTCAGCTGGACAAGGTGTTGAGCCACCTCAAACCAACAGTAGTAGGATCTAGAAAGGACCAGAAGGACCAGAAGATCCCTGAGGTCCCTTCCAATCTGGCGTCCCATGATCCTACAATAATTACTCCTCTTTAACGGAACAAATCCGCAGGGTCGATTCTTTGTGTGAATTCTTGAAGAAAGGGTAAATGTCCTCGAAGAAGTCACAGTCTTTGAAGGTGAACATGATGGACGTGTCAGTCACATTGTAAAAACTCAGGATCTTCTCCTCCAAATTCAGGAAAACTCCAATTTTCCTGGGATTTTTCTGCACCACCAACCGTGTCCAGGGCTCCGTTCTTGCCCAATAATCATTAAAACTTAATCCCAGGACCCAAAATCCTTCTTTGGGTGACAGGGACACGATCCCTTTCCTTGGAGCAGATCTTCTGGCTACTCCCAAATCCCAGTTGTTGCTTTTTTCAACCTCCACCTCCCAATAATGTTTCCCAGAGGAAAAACCTTGGGAGCCCAGGACACAGACGGTGGAGTCGAAACTCTCCTCGTTTTGGGTCATTTTTTGGGCTTGTGTTTGATGTGTGAAACTCTTCTTGTCCCCAGAAATAGACAAGTTTGGGTGGGCTGAGTCCTCATCGACCTGGATTTCATCTACCAAAAAACAAAATGAAATTGATATTTTGGGGCAAAATGGGCAATTTGGGGGGTCCCAGTGGGCAAATTTAGGGTCAAAATGGGCTATTGAAGGGTCAAAATGAACAATTGTGCATTCAAATGGACCAATTTGGTGTAAAACAAGCAATTTGGGGGGGTCTAAGTGGTCAAATTTAGGGTCAAAATTGACTGTTTCAGGGTCAAAATGGGCCAATTTGGGGTAAAATGGGCAATCTAAGGGGTGAGCAAATTTAGGGTCAAAATCTGCTATTTCAGGGTAAAAATGGACAATCTGGGGTCCAAATGGGCAATTTGGGGCAAAACAAGCAACTTGGGGCATCAAAATGGGCAAATTTAGGGTCAAATCGGGCTATTTCAGGGTCAAAATGGATAATCTGGGGTCAAAATGGGCAAATTTGAGGTAAAATGGGCAATTTGGGGGGTCAAAATGGGCAAATTTAGGGTCAAATTGGCAATTTGGGGGGTCAAATTGGGCTATTTCAGGGTCAAAATAGACAATCTGGGTGTCCAAAAAGGGAAATTTGGAGTAAAACAAGCAACTTATGGGGTCAAAATGGCCAAATTTAGGGTAAAAATGGATTATTTCAGGGTCAAAATGGGCAAATTTGGGGTAAAATGGATCAATTTGGGACTCACATGGACAATTTTGGCATAAAATGGGTAATTTGGGAGCATCTAGATATAAATTTAGGTCCAAAATTGGCTATTTTGGGGTCAAAATGTATTATCTGGGTGTCCAAAAGGGCCAATTTGGGGTAAAATGAGCAATTTTGGGGGGACAGGATTGGAAATTTTTATTAAAATGGGCTATTTTAGGGTCCAAGTGGAATATTTTGGGGTTCAAACGGGCAATCTTGGGGTAAAATGGGCAAATTGGGGGGTCAAAGTGGGCAAATTTAGGGTCAAAATGGAATATTTCAGGGTCAAAATTGATGTTCTGAGGGTCCAAAAGGCCCAATTTGGGGTAAAATGGAAAAATCTTGGGGTCACAATGGGCAATCTAGGGGGGCAAAACTGTAAATTTACATTAAAATGGGCTATTCTAGGGTTCAAATGGAAGATTTGTGGATTCAAAAGGCAAATTTTGGGACTCAAATGGGTGATTTGGGGGTAAAATGGGAAATTGGGGGCATCTAAATGGAAATTTGGGGTAAAAATGGGCTGGTTGAGAGTGAAAATGGATGATCTGGGTGTCCAAGAGGGCCAATTTGGGGTAAAATGGGCAATCTTGGGGCAAAATGGGCAGTTTTGGGGGTAAAATCTCCCTAGAACTGGAACAAAAGGCACTTTCAGGCTCAAAATCCAGCCCCTGCTCAGCTACTGGGGTAGTGAAAGGTTTGAAGCAGTTGAATAAATACATTAAATAAATATCCTCAGTAAATACATCCAATAAATCAATTATTCACCTGAGTTGTTACGAGCCTTCCTGAATTCTGAAGGGAAACCAAGGTGAAAAAGATTAAAGATGGTTAGAAAAAGACAAACTCTAAACGTTAACTTTAAAAAAAATCCAATTCCAAGTTGGGAAATCTCAGATTGAGTTAAAAATTCAGCTGTTCAGGTCAAGAGATCCTTAAATTTGCTCTTGTTTTCTCAAGCCCTCTGGTGACCTGCAAGGTCTGAAGGAGGATCTGAAGCTGGGGAGAGTTTTGGGACCAACTTTATCCCTCAGATCCCAATTTCCAGAAGGATCAGAAGCTGGGATGAGTTTTGGGACTTCATTCCTCCCTCAGGTCCCAAGCTCCTGCCTTGATGGCATTTCAGGCAGGTGTCCCACCAGCCACACTCCACAATTGGAGTCATGGAGACATGGAATGGTTTGTGTTGGAAGGGACCTTCAAGATCACCAAGATCCAACCTCCTGCACGGGCAGGGACACCTCCCACCAGCCCAGGCTGCTCCAACCCCCATCCAACCTGCCCTTGGACACTGCCAGGGATGGGGCAGCCACAGCTTCCCTGGGTAGTGTCTCTCTTGGGCCACCACTTCTCCCCTTGGCTCAGCAACAAGGACACAGAAGCTTGACACCCAACCCCAAGCACCAGCACTTACCAATCTGCTTCTCAAGATGGGCTGAAAGACAAGGACAACATACATGGTGACTCCACAGCAGCTTTGGGAAGAGCCCCCCCCAAAAGGAAGACTCCAAAGCCACCCCAGCAATGGGCACGGGGCAGTAAAACCCAAGGCAATGAGCTGCCATGTGGAGCTTTGGGCTCTGGCAGGAGGTCTCCATGGGACTCTTAGGGGGGCAGGTGGCATTGGTGGGGTGTCCCTCCTCCCCCACCCCAAGGTTCCAGGCCCAGGGGGGCATCAGAAGGACTCACCATTCCTTGCATGAAGTTCCTCTGGGCAGTCATGATGGAGCCAGGAGAAGAAGACATCAAGTCAGGGCAAGACCCACAAGGTCTCCTCTGGGACTGGGCACCCCAGGGAAGGATGGCAAAGTCCTCTGGGGTGGTGGATGGTCCACCCTCCTTGGAGCTTCTCCCCACCCTCCTTGGAGCTTCTCCCCACCCTACCATCTCCTTCCTTCACCATCTCCTTCCTTCACCATCTCCTTCCTTCACCATCTCCTTCCTTCACCATCTCCTTCCTTCACCATCTCCTTCCTTCACCATCTCCTTCCTTCACCATCTCCTTCCTTCACCATCTCCTTCCTTCACCATCTCCTTCCTTCACCATCTCCTTCCTTCACCATCTCCTTCCTTCACCATCTCCTTCCTTCACCATCTCCTTCCTTCACCATCTCCTTCCTTCACCATCTCCTTCCTTCACCATCTCCTTCCTTCACCATCTCCTTCCTTCACCATCTCCTTCCTTCACCATCTCCTTCCTTCACCATCTCCTTCCTTCACCATCTCCTTCCTTCACCATCTCCTTCCATCACCATCTCCTTCCTTCACCATCTCCTTCCTTCACCATCTCCTTCCTTCACCATCTCCTTCAATCACCATCTCCTTCTCTCACCATCTCCTTCCCTCACCATCTCCTTCCATCACCATCTCCTTCCTTCACCATCTCCTTCCTTCACCATCTCCTTCCTTCACCATCTCCTTCTCTCACCATCTCCTTCCCTCACCATCTCCTTCCTTCACCATCTCCTTCCATCACCATCTCCTTCCATCACCATCTCCTTCCATCACCATCTCCTTCCTTCCTTCACCATCTCCTTCCCTCACCATCTCCTTCCTTCACCATCTCCTTCCTTCACCATCTCCTTCAATCACCATCTCCTTCCCTCACCACCTCCTGCCCCCATCTCAGCCACCACCATGGCCACCCCAAATGTCCCCAGTGGCCAGGGCTGTGGCTGCCCCTGGAGATCCTTTCCCCAGGAAACCCTGGATGGAAGAAAGCAGGGGGAGGTGGCCTCCCACCCAGTTGTCCCTCAGCCCTCCTGCCACCAACCACGCTCCCCCTGCAGCTCCCTAGGTGGTCCCAGGGGTTGGGGGGAACTTCTCCTGCCCTGTCCCACCCTGGCACTGTCCCCCATGATCTTCTTCCACGCAGGGTCCCCAAGGACACAGCAACACTCACCCATCTCCTTCTGCTTCCCTGGAAGAAAAGAGGGGGAAGAAGGAACCAGAAGTTCTCACCAGAGGAAGAGAGGGGACAAAATCACCCCCTGAGGACCATGGAAGGGACAGGAGCAGCCAAGCCCTCGTGTCACCATTGCCACCAGGGTCTGCAAGGAAGCCTTGCCCCAGGAGTCCTCCAACCAGCTCCCAGATGGTCCATTTCGACCCTCAAATTGCCCATTTTATCCCCAGATTGGCCATTTCGGTCCCAAATCCACCCTTTTGAACCCCATAATCACCCATTTTGACCCCACAAAAGCCCATTTAGACCCTCAATTTACATTTTCCCCTCCAAATTGCCCATTTTAGCCCCAAATTGCCCATTTTAGTCCCAAATTGGCCACTTGAGCCTCCAATTGGCTCTTTTGAACCCCCTAATCATCCATTTTGACCCCCACAAAATCCTGTTTAGACCCTAAATTTACATTTTCCCCTCCAAATTGCCCATTTTAGCCCCAAATTTCCCATTTTCCCCCCAAATCGACACATTTGACCCTCCAGACTGTCCATTTAGACCCCAAAATTGCCCATTTTACTCCCAAATTGGCCACTTGAGCCCCAAATTGACCTTTTCAGCTCCCTAATCATCCATTTTGACCCCCACAAAAGCCCATTTAGACCCTCAATTTACATTTCCCCCTCCCAAATTGCCCATTTTACCCTCAAATTGGCCACTTGGGTCCCAAATTGGCCCTTTTGACTCCCAGGTTGTCCCCTTTGCCCCTGAAACAGCCTCTTTTGGACTCTAAAATTACATTTTAACCCTCCCAATTCCCCTTTTGGCCACCAAATTCCCCATTTTACCCCCAAATTGCCCATTTTGATCCCACATTGACCCTTTTCAACCCCCAGACTCTCCGTGTAGACCCTGAAATAGCCTGTTTGGACCCTCAATTTGCCATTTTGGACCCCTCCCACCTTGCCCATTTTACCCCTGAGTTGCCCCATCTGAGCCCCAACGTGGCCCTGTGGAGGGAGGGGGGACAGGGACCCTCATCCAGACCATGGGACCAACTTCTGGAGACCCTCCAGAACCTGACCCAGCCCCAGACCCACCACATCCTTCTGGGCACAGCATGGGGGGGCTTCACAAGGCAAGAGTTGACCTGACACCCCCACAGCCCACCCAGCCAGGACCTCCCCAGGCTCTGCAGACCTTTCTACTCACCCTTCTCTGCATCCTGGGATGTCCTGAGTTGGGTCTGGAGCTCCCCTGGAAAGGAGAGGGAGAGAGAAAGGAGGGCAATCCTCATGGAATGGGTTGGGTGGGATTGATGGTAAAGATCATCCAGATCCAACCCCCCTGCATGGGCAGGGACACCTCCCACCAGCCCAGGTTGCTCCAAGCTCCATCCAACCTGCCCTTGGACACTGCCAGGGATGGGGCAGC